TTGAAGTGAGAAGTTTACATATTCTGATATGTCAAAGGTATTTTCATCTTGTGTTGAGCTTTGGGAATGTGAGAAGTCTTTAACGGGTGTGTTTTTCATTCTTGAAAACAAAACCTAATCAGTCCATATCAACATCTTCGCAGTCTGTGTTAGTGTCTGGAGGACAGTTTGTTTTCGCAGTCTCGGAACATTCCGAATGGTCTGGTGCCGAATTTTCTTTTGTATCTGAATGCGGGGACTCTGGCTGGTCTTGGGTTGAATCCGAGAGTTGCGGGTGCGGTTCACTGTAGCAGCCCGGAGACTGAGCAGAACTTCTTCTGGAGTAGGTAGTTGGGACCAGGTTGCTTTGCGGAGAGCTGTCGGTTTGACCGGTAAAACTGCTCTGCTCGTTGTTGGTCGGACTGCTGCTGTTGGTGGTGCTGCTGGTCTTGCTCTTACTATGCCCTGGACTTGTATTGGCGAGGCTCGGTTGCGCGGAGCTGCAGTCGGCTGCTGCGCTTCTTTGTCCCGAGCTAACCGAGTCCGGGCTTGGCGCTGCCTTTAAAGCAGTTTGCGGCACAATGAAGCCCAGAGGCTGAGTGATGGGGTAGAGTAAGAAATGGCCCTTCCCTATTAAAGGACGGGGGGTTGATAAAGCCGGGAAATCCAGAGTGGTTTTTCGCCGAGGCGTTGAGTCCGAAAGAAGGCTTTCCACACTGAAAGGGTTTAATTTCTGAAGGGCGGAAGCTCTGCTGTTGGAACATAAGTTTGAGTTGTGGTTGCTGTCGGGAGAGTCCTGCTCTGATCCGCCAGCGTCTTGGCCCAAGTTTCTTTGGCTCTGGAGTTTTTGTCGTGTTTGGTCACAGCTTTGTTCGGTTTGGTTTCGGCCCGAGGACTCAGACGGGGCCATGTTCGAGGCTGAGTCGACACTGTCCGTTATTTGTGAAACACCACTATCGCTGTCCGATCCCGGGGTGTGGAATAAATCTCCAGAGAGAAGTTTGTTCTGCGATCTTAAAAGCTTCCTCTCCTGCTTCCTTTTCTTCTTTTCCATCCTCTCGAGTTCTCTCCGGGCGATTTCTTCCGGGTCCATGGGCTCCCCGCTGCACGATGTGGGGTGGGAGTTGTGAGCAGGTCGTCCTGGTCCTTTCTTAGTGTTCTCTTTTTTCCTCCATTTAGCTCTGCGGTTTTGGAACCAAACCTACACACCGAAGAATGAAAATTGTTTTTATTAATTTCAGCTCTTGCCGTTTCAATTCAATGTGTCTCTCTAAAGGATGCGTTCAGTCCCCGCGAATTGGTGTGACGCTTCTTCACTGAACCACTGAAGCCTCAAAGAAATATTTATCGGTGCTTAAAATGTGATTTGGCCTATGCAAAGAATTTAAAAAAAAAATGAGACAGTGAAGATTAAACACGAGATGCACACAACCCCGATATTTGTAAAGGCATTGAGATATTTAGCGTCTCCTGTCCTCACTTATCGGGTGGAATACAAGACAATATCGCAATAGAGCGCCTTCAGGATGGTCAGTCTGGAACCCGGGCAGAGATTATGTTATTATAGATCAATGCTGGACGCAGCAACACAAATGTCACATTGAAAATATGAAGTCCTAAAGTAAAAGAACGGAATTTGTTCAGATTCGTTTCTGACCGACAGCAGATAATTGTTAAATTATCACAAATGTGCATGATTAAACGAAAATTGTTCGGAAAGATGAATGGAAACCTAAACAGTTTAATGTTTACAACTGGCATCTGAACCTTGTGCACTTGCAAATACCACTAGGTTAATTGACAATCAAATTGATTTAATGTAAAGGGTAATTCTCTCGATTAAGTCTCTGTTTTGTTTTCTATGTCAGGGCTGTCTTGGTAGCACACTGTCAATTTCCTTTTATATAAGGGAAATCGAATTCGAGTAGTCAAAGAACAGATCTAGCCCACCGACAAGGCCTTTAAGAAGAGCTGTTACTGTTCGCTAGAATATACCAGCACGTGTTGTGTGATAATAAGTTTAACGACATTAAAATGAATTTAACCTAACATGAAATTCACAGCTAAAGTTGTATAATAAAAAAAACTCTTTCCTTTAATATAAGCATAACGCGTGGTTTTTGTGTGACTGTCAATTGAACCGTCTTGTGCTTTTTCTTTTCGACCATGCGTTCAAATCCATTACTGAGACGTGTGTCAACAGTTTCGTGTTTTTTTTTCTGTCGAGAATGAAACTTTGACTAGACAGAACAGATGAGCATCGATAACCTGTATTTATGTAAAATTTGCTTTCATATTCATAGAACCCATCTACCCCTTTCGAGGTTGATTAACAAATGAATAAGCATGAACTTTCTGGACTACTGACCAACTAGATACAAACGCCATAATAATCTTAATAATAATAATAATAATAATAATAATAATAATAATAATAATAATAATAATAGGTGCATTATGATTGCGTTGAATTACAGTGATTATCGTGGTGGACATGCTAGTAAATTAAACAAATCTGCACATTTCTTTCTATTGCGTGTCTTTGTGTTGGTCCAGAAGGCCTTGTCAGCGAGAACCGCTCATTAGCGTATTAAAGGGAAATTGAGGGTCTCGACTTCACTTAACGACCTCAGAACAAATTGGATAAAGTGTCGGAAACCTGGGAGGTCAGGAGAGGACGGCTTTCACTTTACAAATTTACTTGAACAAAGCGGTAATAGATTTTTAATAACAGTGTATTTCTTTACTACAGTTAGACTTTGTTTTTAAAATTTTTACTTAAGTGGTGCTACTCGACTCATTATCACAGGTACTGTAGGTGCTAAATGTATAATTCCTTCACTACTTCATATATAAATGCTTAATTCCCCACGTTTTACCTATTGCTTTAATTATTATTTTTAAAGTTGCATTATACGTCGATTTTTTAAAATAAAATTAGGACGTTTGAACCTTTTCAATAATTCATTTCTCGCCAAGAACACAACACATTAAAAACTCTCTTTCACACACAGACACGCAAAAAGAGGAACATGCAGGCCCTTTTTTCATAGATGCAAGCATATATATATGAGGAAAGTAAATCTACTGCAATGTTAATTTTATATAATTTTGCATAACTTAACATTAACATGTTACAGAAGCAACTATTTTACTCCTATTTGTATATATATATATTGATTAAAAGAGTATTTTGAGAAATCTGATACACAGTTACGAGGACAGTAACAATAACAATGCATCCAATTAATTTCAGTTACCTTGCATTATCTTACGCTGCTATAAAAAAAATGTTAACCTGTCCGAATATTAAATTCTAAAAATAAAGTAGCAAAAACAAAAAAAATAAAATGTCACACAAGCAGCGACTAAAGTACGGTAAAACTGTTTTATAGCGTTCCTTGAAGCAGGAAATGTCACCTTTTATCCAAATATCCAGTATTTGCAGGTTGATAAATAGATTTTCTAAAAGCAGACACATCTAAACCAGCAGAACCGTGAGCTATTTTCAAAACAATATCTAAGACTTGCGATTGCAGCGTTTGGTAATTAACAGTCGGGTATTTTGTTCGCTGTAAATTTACCTGAACTCTAGACTCGACCAAGTCCAGTCTCAGTGCAAGAGCTTCCCTCATGAAAACGTCTGGATAATGACTCTCATTGAATGCTTTTTCTAATTCTTCTAGCTGCCATCCAGTGAAATTCGTACGAGTTCGTCTTCTCTTACAACCAGGACTGTCCTTGTCTGGGTCTCCCGAATCTGTAGTTAAGGATAAAGGAAATCATGAGCAAAATATGTTTGTAGCCCACATAAAACATTGTGTTTCTTCCAAAATCAAATTATATCCAACCGATCAATTTCGAGTATTTAGGATCGTTTACCCTAGGACACCACTTTTCGTCGTATTTAGGTGTGGGAACAGCATTTCTCTGGTCAAAACAGAGTGTTTCTACATTTTAGTCGGTGTGTTCGCCTGAAACAACATCTAAACAGTCCCAACAGGTCCGAAACTCACACACCGGAGAAAATGTGTTTTTCTACTTCAAGAATGATACGAATACAGAGCTTTTAAAAGCCCATAAAAAAAACAAAACAAAACGATGAAGTATCACTTAAAATTGCACATCGACGATCTTTTGAACGATCACCTCGCTGTAGTTTTACAGATACGTAAATACGTTTTCTTTCTGAAAAAGAAGAGGAGCAAAACTCTCTCGAACTTGCTTATCTGACCCTTTTTCATCAGGGTATATCTTTCCTTCTAGTATTTCAAGCCCGTTGCTGTAGTTTTGTAGGACAATTTACCGTATAATCACAACATGCATTTAGTTTGCCAACATCACCATCCATTTCTTCGCTGTTATACAAAGGCCCTTGCTAAATCATTTCTTGTTTGTGTGTGTAAGTCATGCCGGATCAGTTGGTGCTCTACGCCTTTAGGAAAACGAATAAAGCAATAAAATGCTAATTCATTTCACAGCCCTGGCGCTTTGTTGTTTAAACGTAACATGACTGAATCACCTTTTCCTCCCCAACGAAACTAAAAACGCGCTGATCTCAGATCAAGTGCAGCGCAGTGATTCTTATTATTCCTCGTTTCGTTAATATAAATCTGAACCTCGTTTCTTTACCAGCGTTTCAATCCTTCGCCTACCTGTCAGTTTGTACTGCTGGCTGTCCCCATTCACACCGCAGCCAGAAGACAGCAGAGGGTTCGAGTTGACCACAGAGGCTGTACAGGAGCCGTTCAATAATCCGTCTATGGAAAAAGGAACCGCGGCCGCAGACTGGAGTTGATGCCCGGCTAATTCGTAGACATGATGGTGGCTAAGATGGTACGGAAAGCCCACCATCCCACTAAGAGAGCCTCCAAACTGGGCATGAGGGTGCTCCAGTATCCGGCTGTCCATCATCTCCCGGGCAGAAGGGGCCAAAGTCTGGAGGCAGGTTGTGGGAATTTAGAAAGCATGCAGTTAGAGTGGGCAGCGAGGAGGGGACATGCTGGAGAGAGGAGGATGAGCTTTACTTTATCAACATCAACCTTCCAATAATTAGCCCAGGCTTTGGGAATTTGGGACCAATAAGAAACGTTAATCGGCTGTGACGTCAGAGACGTGGTTTGAAAACGTTTTCCATATCGATTGCTAATTATACCTGACATCCACCTCAATAAACAATATCAGAGCTGTCACAACAGGACAGGGGGCTTTGATAAGAACTACATCACAACTAGATGGGGGGTTTGGAGAAGCAGAGATCTGATTGATATCCAGTTAAATACTAAACAGACACAGTACATCGAGATTTTACATCTCACATCTCACTCGCTCTTAAAACAATAATAGATTTTCCTTAAAATCATTCAGCAACGTGTTGTGCAGATTTTTCAGTGGAAACGCTTTACTCTCTGAACCTTTAAAGTGATGTTTTCCAATTACAGAGAGACATTGAGCGCCAAATAGACTGATCCAATAATAGAGGATTCATCATCCTCCCTTTCCAGAGCTGTCACATTGAATTTAAAACTACAACCCTTTTCATCTCCCCTCTAGTTCCACAAATTCAACACAATATTTAAAGGTGATATGTTGGTGGCAATAAGAAAGCGATCTTTAATTCCATCTCCTTCTGTCGATTTTATCGACATGTAGATATTAAATTATTAATTACATGACCTCGCCTAATTAAACACTGCTCCTGTTTAGCAGGGAGGCGAGAAATTAAAAATTCTAGAAAAAAAATATTCCCAGTCTTACTTTTCCTGTGATTAATAGGGTTGAAACTGCTAGCCCAATTTGTTATAATTAAATTATATTCCCACTGAAGTTTACAAACTCACGTCTTATGCCATATACAGAATAATGCAGATCGTCAAGAAGCAAAAATCATAATACAAGCCGTATCATAATACGTATGATATTTTTAAAATAAGCTGAATGAAAACCGACAAATAAGTGCTGCGATTCAAGAAACACAAACACGAAAGGCTGTTTTATAAATAAACCTGTTTTAGAAAATAAACTTTGGAAATAACGTAAATATTTGTCATGTTTAAAATCATATAACATTAGCAGCATTAATAGGCAACAGTATTGTAGAAACATTAATCCGGACATTCGAACATGACCGCATTCTGAAAAAACACACGTAAAAACAACATCAAACTGCACACTTAGCACCTTAGCACTACCAGGTTTAACAAGAATGATATGTGGAGCAAAATAGTAGATTCATTGAGACAACAAATCGACGATTTTACCAATCAGCTATAAAAGCGATTAAGAAATAGGAGGAAGAATGAAAAAACTACGTGTTAAATCTTCTCCCAAAACACTCTCGTTCATTAGTGAAATTAATGAGTGACTACGACATTAAAACATTGTAAACACGATATACTAATTAAGAATTAACAATGATCTTTTGTTCGTGTATTTTCTTAATAAACAACTCTCGGTGGCTAGGAAACACGAAATAGGCTAACAATAGTTAATATTAAGAGTATCCAGAGAACAATATTAATTCCGGGGTCAGGAGGGCCAAGGGCTGCACTTTTCACCATAATTTAATTTCTCTCTCTATAAATACTAAATGTAAACTGTGTCCACTGGACCAAATTTTGCCTGTAGCGATAACCGCTTCATTTTGTGTTAGATTTCTGGAGAGGAATGCAAGGGAAACGTGTTTCTGAATACAGAATGGTAATCAATCCAGCCTGTATAAGTACAGACTTTTCTCTCTCTCTCTCCATTACAGAGAATTAATTCAACTTTATTTATCCCATTTCTGGAGCTGACAGAATGTTAATTTGAGTTGAAATTTCTCTCGCCTCTCACTCCCTGACCCCTGGCACGCAGATTGGCGTGTTGTAATAACCTGAATCTTTCAACAGAAGCCCTGATAATTGTTACCTTATTAGCATGCAAATTGTTTAATTAATATTATTATGAAGAAGCATATAATCCGTTCGTCACTTGACCTCGAGTCCACATAGCAACCAGCTTTCTGCATTTCAATGTGTAAATTTAAATCAACTCTTTTTTAATGTTTCAGGATTCTTGTCTGGCTTTTTTTAAATCTCTTCCTGTATGAGTGCTGCCTTTAATGGTAAGAGCAGTCTTTTGATGCCGCTCTCTTTGTGTCTTTTTTCTTATTTTCTCACTCTATACACAAATTATGGAAATCGTTTTATATATTTTTTTTATTTTGAACATCAAAATTCAATAATTGCCTCCTTGTCATTTGCTTATAAAAGCGGTTTCTTTAAAGGCCCCCCTCCAGTTCTGAGTGCTGTTCCAACCAAACAGACTCGCGGCTCACTGAAAAGCAGCCCTTGACACGCAGTCCTGGGAGACATTGCATTTAAATCCGTTTTTCTACAGCCGAGTGACATTGTCAGATGCTAGCTTTAATTAACTTGATAATAAGACGTACAAGACTCGCATTCAGGCCCGCCGCTCGCCTCGCCTTGTTTCCCTTTTTATCAGAATTCTGGGGTTTTATCTTGAACAGCATTTGACTGGCCTTTTAACAGTCGAACGGGGAAGGAAGTTTAAAAAAAGTCATATGCAGAATACACGGGGAGAGCGCAATTAATAACAATAAAAAAGCTATTAAAGGTAAAAATACTTGTGATGCAGGAAGGATGAAAAGACAACGAGGTAAGCTCTACAATGTATGCCTGTGCATTCAATCACCTCAACCTTCACCACCCCAGTGCGTGAGCGCACAGACTCCGTGGGCAAAGGGTGGAGGGGTGAGGGCTTGCCTGGGATATTTCTTTCCCAATACTGTCCGCCTGATTTGGCCAAAGGTGTCAGGAATGTGATTGGATAGAGAGATACACAAAGAGGTCAAAAGATAGACCTTAGCGATTCCTATTATTTAGTTAAAGATTTCCATAATATGCTCGAGCAGATGTATATATGGACTATACGTGCATACATACTCAGCCTTGCTCACACCCCAAACCCAGCGCTGAAGACTTATAACCTTTTTGTATTTCAAATAACTGTAGAAGTGAATTACAGATGGAGAATATGAAATAGAGATTTGCATTTATTTTATGTTCCAACTGATAAACTGGAACGAGCTTACACAATTTCAATCTGCAGAGCAGGGCAAGCTGACAGGAGGGATTAAAATGTTATGTCTGAACTGAAGAATTCAATCTATCTACTAGTTCATAGAAAAAAAAAGTTTATGGTCGTCGGCATCCCAAAAATCAAAGTCCATAAACTTGGGTTCACATCCTCATAAAATGTATCATCTTTCTGCACAAATGCTTTTGTCTTGTTGGACTGCACCCTTTCAGGAAGACAGCTCCCACCAGACTCTTCGTTGTGACTTTAGGGCCAACTGAATAATCATTTGGTTTAAGTGAGTTCTTATAGTTAATGAGTAGTTAACTGAGCCTTGTACTTATTTTCACATTTCGCCCAGAATTTGCATGAATTTGTCAGTGTTTTGCTCCAGCTAAATTGCTAATTAAGTCAACCCATAATTGTATGGGCCTCTTGCACAGCACGCTTTGTGGGGCCTAATCATTGTCTTCAATATACGGTAGGAGTCGCAACAATTTTTCACTTTATGGCTGTGTGATACTCTGTACTTCAGACTCTCTGTCTCTGTGATTCCGGCTCTGTGACATAATTCAAAAACAATCATGGTTGACATCTTTTTTTTATTTTAAGTATGCTAGATGTTTCTTTTTTAAGAATGTATCATTTCTCCTATAGAGCACAAGGAGCTACTCTCATAACTTAGTTTTGTTTGCAGAGGAATCCACAAGACAATAATGCTTTGTCTTTGAGGGTTGCTGAAGATTCTGCACAGTTGCCTACTGGCCATGGCATGTGACTCGGTCTCACCCATTTCAACAGTTACATTAAGTGCTAAAGTTTGTTTTGTAGTTTTTCATCCAGTCATAAACTTAGAGGGTAAATAAAGGGATTTCTCATTCACCACTTTACAGTGTATCCCTAGGAGATCAATATGTATTACATCTCTTAACAGTGTGTTGAAAATGTGTTTTTGCATCAAGAGATGGAAATGTGCGTGGAGTGTCACTTGTAATATTATACATTTATGTAATGAGAAATGTCATATTAAAATGTATTAATCAGTCAACCCCTATTAGACCGTGATAGCAGCCCCATTTAATTCAGCAAACCTAGAATCAGTCAATTCTTTGAATCAGCAACTACCTTTCTTTTATTATATCACCTAAAGGAAATGTGTATTGCGAAATGTAGGACAAAGGGATATGCATGTTTGTGCAGTGATCACCTTGGATATTACACCTTTCAAAGAATGTCATTGAACCCGCTGTAGTGGTTTGCCAATAAACCACCAAAACATTAGGTTTTTGGACAAAAAAATCACAACGCTTTGTGCAGCTCCTATATATAGGCACCACGTTCATTAGATTAGGGGCATCATTGTCGATATCAATGGGTGTCAATATCCGCTCCGTTATAAATTTCCAGGGGGCATATTCTTTATTAAACTCATTACAGTCCCAGACCAGACACAAGAGTTTAACAGCAGGTGTTCAAATTCACCACCCCATCCAAACAAACTAATAAAAACCGCCCATCCAACACTGATGTCAATATTACTTTAAATTACACAAAATCAAATTTATTTTTAATTAGCAAATTAATAGGCGGCAGTTGAGGGTTTTAATTACTCAATTAACTTCACGCAAGTTAATTTTTAACTATCTAAATTAAGTTGCACATTACTCGATTTACTGATAATTACAGAATTAAATCTAAATTAATTGTTGGAGGTGATTTGATCCACCGCTGAACTAGACGCGATTCCAATTAAAGAGTAAAGAGATTTTTGTTGATGTTTAAAACAACTGAAGCCTTTGATTTTATTTTACAGGGGGAGAAACTATTCCCTCTAAAATCCTTCTGATCCTGAAAATTCTCTCTCCTTCTTAATCCCTACAATTAAAACTTTCCTCCGTCTAATTATCTGTAATTGTGCTGCTGTCAAAGTAGAAAAGAGAAG